ACGCTGCTGGCAAGCGGCCTCTGCACTCCCAAAGCCCCAGGGGAGCCGCGCGCCCAGCGTTAGGGACGCGAGGCAGCTGCCAGGAGGAGGCGGTCCTGCCCGCTGCCCAGCCTCTCCGCTCCTAGTTGAGACGTGCAAGGGCCAGCCGCCGAGTCCGCGCTCTCTGNTAGGCAAAGTTACGGGATTCTTAGCAGCCCCCAGGCGCACGGCCAGAGTGGCTCCGCGCTTGCGCTGCGATCTTGCACCACGCAGTGTGTGTCCTCTCCTTACCGCGTGGGTGCGCGCGTGGGGGATGCCGGTCCGTCCCGCTGGCAGCCTGTGGACTCGACCCTCCCTTAACCATTTCATTCTCTCCCACACACACGCTAATAAACACAGGGCACGTGGAAATTCTCAGCCAGAGTGCCCTGCCCGGTCCGGTGCTCAAAGTGGTGATTTATAAACAGATCAGCCACTCCCCAAAGAGCTTGCTCCTCGTTAGTCATGATGAATTCTCTGGCCCGCTCTACTTTGGTGCCTAGATTAAGATGCTCAGAACCCCCAAAGTACTCCCCTTGAGCGTTGATTCTGTTTCTTTCTCAAACCCACGACTGCCAGCAGGGCCAGCGTTAGAGCTACAAGGCACGGGCCAAGGGGGGGACGCGATCCAATTCCTTGGGGTATTTTCGCCCTCTAGGCAGCAAACCTGTGATTCGCTTCGAAATACAGGCGCCGCCGTAACCTTGGTCCTGCTTGGTAGTCCCGATGCTTCAGCCCAGGTCGGCGCCCAGGCCTCTCCTAGCGCACTCGCAGGCTCGGAACGGCTGCGAGCAGCGGTCCGCGGCGGCTCGGAAACTGACAGCGCGTCTGGCGGAGCTGGGCGGAGCGGCGCCGCCAGTGCACCGTCCCGCTGCCTCGCGGTGGAGTTCACGGCTGAAGACAAGCGGGGAGCCTCGCCAGAGAGCGTCTGAGAGTTGAGTTTGACCATCCCCACCCACTGGCGTCCGCAGAACTTACTGATTAGGAAAGCTCCCCTAGCATCACCCAGTCTTCCATCACACATCCCCCCCCCCC